TCGGTAACATCTGGTCGATAACGCAGGATTGTGTCCAGTGTGCATGACACTTCGCGATTATATGTGAGTATAAAGGGAGTAGTGTGTCGTGTCTTGAGTGGCGGTGTTGTAGGCGAAAGTGATGAAAGGTAGTATACGGTCCCAGTTGTCGTGGTCCTGGGAGACATACATGGAAAGCATATCTGAAAGTGTGCGATTAAAACGTTCCGTAAGGCCATTGGTCTGGGGGTGATAGGCGGACGTGCAACGATGAATAACATTACACTCTCTTAGAATGTTTTCGACAACTTGGGATAGAAAAACTGTTCCCCTGTCGCTGAGTAGCTCGCGAGGAGATCCATGCCGCAGTGCTATACTATGTAAAATAAAGGATGCAACTTCGCGAGAATCTGCGTGGGGCAGGGCGGCAGTCTCAGCGTAGCGTGTCAGATGGTCAATGGCGACGACAACCCAGTGGTTTCCTTGGGATGATTTGGGAAGGGGACCATACAGGTCAATTCCCACTCGTTCAAATGGTTTCTCGGGAACAAGTATGGGTTGTAGCAAGCCAGCCGGCTGCTGGGGCGGTTGTTTCCGTTGTTGGCAGAGTAGGCAAGAACGAACATACTTTTGTATGGAGCGATACATGCCGGACCAGTAATATCGGCCACGTACACGTTGGTAGGTCTTCGAGATGCCAAGATGGCCAGACGTTGGATCGTCATGGAAGCACCGTAGCACATCCATACGAAGTTGCCGAGGAAGTGCTAATAACCATCGCTGACCATCGGTGGAGTAGTTACGGCGGTACAAGAGGCCATCTCGAACAGAAAAATGTCGCGCTCGTTTGCAAAACTTGCGGTTGTCGGAAGTGGATGTACCTGTGATATGTTGCACGAGGGCGGCAGTACCAGGATCTTGAAGTTGTTCTTGTGCCACCGTATCGAGAGAGAGAGAAGCCAATGTGATGGGGTTGTCGTCGTCTTGAGTTTGGATCGTCGGTATAGGGCAACGTGAAAGAGCGTCGGCGTCTTGATGCTTGCGTCCGGATCTATGTGTCACTGAAAAGTCGTACTCTTGTAGTCGAAGTGACCAGCGTCCTAAACGTCCAGAGGGGTCCTTTAATGACGTGAGCCAACAAAGGGCGTGATATGGTCCGTGATGATGTTGAAGTGCCGGCCGTACAGGTATGGTCGAAATTTGGCAGTAGCCCAGATAATTGCTAGACATTCTTTTTCAGTTGTCGAATAGTTACGTTCAGCCTTCGAGAGGGTGCGACTAGCATACGCTACGACGTTTTCAAGTTGGGGTGATTTTCGTTGTATCAGGACTGGGCCTATCCCATAACCACTGGCATCAGTGTGGATCTCAGTGGGGGCTGAGCGGTCAAAATGACACATGATTAGGTCTTGTGTCAAACGAGCAACGAGCTGATTAAAGGCATGTTGGCACTCTGGAGTCCAATGAAAATGCTTTGTTGTGGCTAATAACGTAAGGGGGCGGCGATGGTTGCGAATCCTTGTACAAACCGCCGAAAATCTGAGCAAAGACCTAGAAAACTGCGAAGCTCCTTAACTGTTTTGGGGATAGGACATTCGGTGACAGCTCGAATTTTGTCCGGGTCAGGTCGAACACCCTTATTCGATACTACGTAGCCTAGCACTTTGATTTCTCTCGCTGCGAAGTGACACTTTTTGGTGTTTAGTTTTAAATTCGCGTTTGTAATGCACGATAGAACTGTGGCCACACGTTCCAGATGAACTGCGAACGTTGGTGCAAAAATAATAATGTCATCTAAATAGCAAAGGCAGATTTGTTTGTTTATTGTTTGTTTGTTTATTTTATTTTTGACACAACTGTCAGGGAGGTTGGGACAAAAGGCGAAAACGAATCACCTGACTAGGTCCCCAACCCCCGTTACAGCACTCAGCAGCAGGGCACAGGAAATGAATCAAAAACAGCATAAATAAAAAATAAAACAATATCTGAGAAGATAAAAATATGACACTCAAAAAATGTACAATCTATTTTGATGTGAACTATACTAGGAATGCACACTAGGCACATTGAAGTATACCGTAAGGTATTTTTTGAAAAGAAACACGGACGCTATTGTCTGGGCTAATTCGAATACACAATAATTTCTGTTAAGAAGATCGGGTATCTGGTAGGATATTTTTTGTGTACCGTAATTAGTTCTTATTTTAGGTTTTGAAAACTGCTGGTGTCTCAAATTGTAATTTGTTTGCTTGGATAAATATGTTTCGTAAAATATTGCGGGATTCGTGTTTATTTGAGTATGAACTGAAATTGCGACCTTCAGGCAAAAGAGATTATCTAACGTTAATATTCCATGTTTAATAAAGCTAGGGGAAGTCGATTCAGTCCAAGGTAAATTATCAATTGACCTAACTGCGCGTTTTTGCAATGTAAATAATTGCTTAATATTACTTGCTGTAGTCGTCCCCCAGACCAATAAACAGTAATGCAGCCTCGAGTGAATCAGAGATATATACAGTTGTTTTTTTAAACAGGCTGGAAGAAGGTATTTTAGCTTACAAATTAAACCAATTGATCTAGAAATATCCCTTCGGAGTTCGTTCACTTGACAAGTCCAGTGTAGATTTTCGTGAAAACGAACACCAAGAAATTTAAAGGATTCCACGCGTTCAATATTCGAGTTTTGAAAAGATATACTAATTTCGCTAGTTATGGGCTTATTTTTTGCTCTAAAAATAATGTACTTAGTCTTTGCCGTATTCAGCTCTAACTGGTTTGAGCCTAACCATAAATGAAGTTGCTCCAGCCAATTATTTGTTTCTCTTTCAATGCTATCCAAACAGCTACCAGTAAAGAATACATTCGTATCATCTGCATATAAAATTATGTTAGGTGTTTGTGGGATGTTTACTATATCATTGATGTAAAGAAGGAAAAGTAATGGCCCGAGAACCGACCCCTGCGGCACACCGTATCGAATTTTTGCTAAAGGAGAGCGCATATCATTGAGGACGGTATATTGAAAACGCGAGGTCATGTAACTGCTTATCAAGTTTAGCGCACTGCCTCTTATTCCATACAGCGGTAACTTTCGGAGTAGGATGTCGTGTTTTATAGAATCGAAGGCCTTCCTGAAATCTAAAAAAACACCCAGAGTATAGCACTGATTTTCAATATTGTCTATGATTTTGTTTTTGATATTGAGCAGTGCCATTTCAGTTGATTTACCTTTTTGGAAACCAAACTGGTTGTTTGTAATAATATTATGTTTATTACAGAAATCACTTAATCGTTTGTAAATAACGCGTTCCGCTACTTTAGAAAAGACTGGAAGTACTGATATTGGCCTATAGTTATTCATATTATTCTTGGGACCACCTTTATGGATCACACAGACTTTCGCTATTTTCATTTTTTCTGGAAAGATACCGGTAGTTAAAATAAGGTTGCAGATATGCGAAAGCGGAGTAGATATGAAAGAGGAAACTGCTTTGATTGGCTTAGAACATAGCCCATCTTCTCCACAGGCACCGCTATTCCCTAAGGATTTAATGATAGTAGTTATTTCTAGTTCAGTGGTAGGTGCCAGAAATACTGAGTTATGTAAAGGGTATCCAACATAAGACTCACATGTAGGCGTTCTCGCTGAGGGCATAGTAGAAGAACCGGATTCTAGAAAGTGGGAATTAAATTTATCTACAAGAGACTGACCCGAGTAAGTAACCCGCTCGATTGTAAGTTCTTTTCGAGCATGTGCACGAGGCCTAGAAGAAAGTTCATTTACGGCTTGCCAGACTTTCCGCGGATTGTTATATATTGCATTAAACTTATTTTTGTAGTATTGAGCTTTAGCTTTCTTGATATCAGCATTGAGTTTGTTCCTCACTTTCCTAAATTCCTGTAATATTGAGATATCTCTTGTCTTGACGAACTTATCATATAATTTATTGCGCTCTTTTATACGCTTATATAACTGACTTGAGATCCAAGGTTTTTTGGACTTTTTATATTTTTTAAACTCTTGCCATGGAAATGACTCCTCATAACACTTTTGTAGGAGGTCCAAAAATATACCATATGATTTATTTGGTTCCCTTTCAGCTACTACCGACTCCCAGTTTATATTCGATACCTTAGAATGAAACAGCTCAATTGAACTATTATCAATTCTTCTAAATGTCTGAGCCGCATTATTAGAGCTCAATTTTAAATTTACTGGACCGACAATAAAACTAAATATCGGAAAATGGTCACTTAAATCACAAGAAAAGACACCAGCAGCCTCGGTATGACAATTTGTAATACAGAGATCAATTAGCGTTTCTATTTCCACCGTGATTCTAGTCGGCAAGTTTATTACATTATCAGATCCGTAGGACTGAACAATATCAAGTAGTTCAAGGGATCCACTCACGGGCGAGATCATATCAATATTAAAGTCACCTATTAAGATTATAGAAAGGTTCAGTGAGGCAGCATATTCCATAACGTTCTCAATGAATTCAAAAAACTTCATCAACGACCCGGCGGGGGGTCTATAAGCAGTGACTATTACCAGGGAACGACATTTAGCCACAAGTGCTTCGTAGTCTGAGCATATTTTTGAAAATTCAGGCAATACTTCATAATGTAAGTTATCACGAAAATAAACAGAGACCCCTCCTCCCCTTTTATCACTTCGATATACTCCCTCGCTATTATATCCTATGAACCCGACAACGTCATCCCTGCTCGTAAACCAAGTTTCAGTGAATGCTAGTACATCAAAAGTAAAATTTAAAGAGTTCAGAAACATATCAACATCATCGTGTTTATTGCCAAGACTTCTAGCATTTAAGTGGAAAAATGAAAGCATATCTTTGTTATAGACAAGACATTCTTTAACAAGATGAGTAAACGATATTCGATCGTGATAAGTAGACGTTACGTCCATTAGAAAAGAAAAGAAAAAAATACATATCGCAACCCGCCGGCTTTTCACACAATCTTATCGAAGTCTGCCTCGCATTCAATCTTTATTACACGGTCACCCTGCTTTTTTCGTGCGAACAAGTTGCCATTTTTCTGCCAGACAAATTGATACTCTTTTTCTGCAGCCTTTTCTCTCAGCATCCAGAGAAGCTTCTTGTTCGTGGTGGTCAAATTATCAAGAAACCAGACGTCTGATCGGGTTTCTTTTAGGTATTTCCTTTTTCCTAGCCATTGATCTCGGGTCCTTCGTGATGCAAATCGAACCAAAATATTTTTTTGCTGGGAGTCTGTGCAGACCTTCCACATCATTCTCAGCTAGTTTTGGAAGTTCTAATCTTTCTGCGAGATCATTTAATTTGTTCAGTAGGTTCTCATTTGCGCTTGGTGGCATTCCATGAATCTCAAGGTTCTGGCGTCTGGAGTACTGTTCTAAACTGTTTACTTGTTTTTTCAGCATGCAGATTTCTTCGGTATCTTGGGTTCCCTCAACTTTTTCCACTCGTCTTCTCAAGTTAGTAATTTCTTTTGACTGCTCGTCCATTTTTTTCAGAACCAAATCGTACTGATTTGACATAAGCTGAACTGACTTTTCTATCTGATCGACTGTGTCTTTGATCGACATATTCTACTTTTGCGTTCATCGTCATGATTTCACTCAACTTTTTGTTGATAGCAGCTAATTCCTGCCTAAGATGCGGTTCCTGTTCGGGCTTCTGCGTTCCTGGGCTTTGAATGCCTCGGCTCTTCGCGGTAAGGCATGTACGGCATTTCCATGCATTATTTTTGGAGTTTCTATTTTTGCCCTTAAAAGTACTTTCACCGGAACATGTTCCCGCGTGGTACCCATATCCACAGTCCGAACATGTTAAATACTTCGTAACTTCAGGTAGTGGTTCGTTACAGTGTACACAAACCTCCGGAATCAGCACATCCGCGTTCGCCATTCAGCACGACTAAACAAGGAAAAGCACTTTCAGCAGCAGCCGCGTCAAGAATACGTGTGAGTAGATAGACTTTGCTATCAATCAACACTAACCTGTAAAATGGTGAAGACAAGAATTAGCCTCCGAAAGGAACCCTTGACGCCGCTGCTGCTGTGTGCGTTTGAAGAGTTTTCGCAGAGCCTTCTTCTTTTAAAGCTGTCTTCCGACGATATCCAAAAAAGCCAGGCCAATCGCAGGCTGGTATCGGCGGCACGGTGATAAGAGCGTCGATGAGCAGCCTAATGGTATCAGCGAAGACAGGCAGTGCAATTGCACCAGCGGCCGTGAACTCTGTAAAACGGTGAAGACAAGAATTAGCCTCCGAAAGGAAGCCTTGACGCCGCTGCAGCTGTGTGCGTTGCCACTTCAATCCTCGAAGAACAGTATCCATCAGGCGTTCGAAGGTGGCCGGGGCATTGCATAGGCCGAACGGCATAACATTGAATTCGTATAAACCGTCTGGCGTGATAAATGCGGTTTTGGGTTTGTCAGTTGAATTCATTGGAATCTGCCAATATCCCGATTTTAAATCCAGCGATGTAAAAAATTCAGCGCCTTGGAGGCAATTTAAGGCGTCATCAATTCGTGGAATGGGGTACACATCTTTGGTCGTGATTCTGTTGAGGCGGCGATAGTCCACACAAAAGCGAATACTGCCGTCCTTTTTCTTTACTAAGACCACAGGAGAGGACCAAGGACTTGAAGACTTTCTGATTACTTCTTTTTGCAACATTTCAGTCACTTGTTGCTCTATTATCTCTCTTTCTTTCATTGAGACCCTGTAAGGACGTGTTCGGATGGGACTATGACCCTGCGTGTCTATCCTATGCTCAGCTGTTGAAACTGTGCCTAAAGGTAGGTCATTTAGATCGAAAAGTTTGTGATACGATTTTAAGAGACTTAGCATTTGTTCTCTTTGATGACCGGTGAGGTTCCTGTCGATGGTATTCGGAAGGCGATCGAAAACATCATTTTCTTTGATAGGATCTTGGGAAAACGGTTGCGAGGAGGGTGTGTCGTTGAGGGCAATGATATTGATGTCAGTCGCCAATGTTACGGTGGCTAGAACTGTGTTCTCCGGTATTAGTATGGACTCGTGTGTAACGTTGATTATGATGATGTACGTCGACACTGGGCCAATATGGGCGATGCCACGTGGGATGAGCAAACCTTTTTTTTCCAATAAGGCAGAAGTGGGCGTGATGAAGTAATCTCCCGGTGAGAGTGAACAGCAATTAATGAGAACGAAAGATGAACTTCGAGGCGTAATAACAGTGTCTTCTGATGCTCGTACTTTGTTTACCAGCGCAGAAACATGCTGGTCGTCATCAGGCAACTCCTGGAGGGAAAGCTGTGAATTCCCGCAAAAAATGATTGCATGAGTAATAGAAAGGAAATCCCAGCCAAGAATAATTTCATGTGTGCATGATTAGAGGACGACGAATTGAACTGAATATAATAGGCCCTGTATTATAATCCGTGCTGTACAAAGTCCGACGGGTTTAAGTAAGTTTGATCCTGCAGTTCTGAGATTACCTTCAAACGGTGTCACGACTTTCTTGAGGCGTCGACAGAGATCTAAGCGCATAACGGAAATAGAGGCGCCTGTATCAATTAATGCTTGTACGTTTTGACTTTCAATTTAAATTACGACGACGTTAGAGGGAGGTTGATGAGGACTTGAGCAGTATGAAGATGTCGCAGCTGGTGCCTCAGGAGCTGCGGTTAAAAGTTTCCCCCTTGTGATGGAGCAGTGGACCCTGATGGGACCATAGGGGACGTTGAGCGGTGACGTTGCGGTGATGGCGACTGTCGACGCGAAAATCCCGGTGAACTACCGGCGAACCTTGTGGTTGGAGAGTTTGACCGGGTGTATCCGGGAGTCTGGTTATAATGGGTGGGGTTCGCAGTGATGCTTGTATGGACGTTTGCAGACTCTTCGGCTTGGCGGCGACGGCATAGGCGCATAACGTGTCCTGGTATGCCACAGTAATAGCAGGTAGGGCGGTTGTAGAGCTGTGGGCGAGTAGCCTGCTGGTGTGGTTGAGTGTATCCAAAGGGTTGTACGTATGGCATGGTTACAGCAGGATAATGAGGTTGGAGCATTGGAGGTGAAGCTGCAATTTCTGCGTAGGTCGGCAGCATGGGCTGTGCCGGTGCTGTAAGCGGCGAGGATATAGGCACGGTAGACGCAATCTCGTTCTGGACGAGGGACCGGAGTGCCGATTGTGTTGGTGTAGTTGACGGCTGTGTGAGTTGGAGAGCTTGCGAAACCTCCTCGCGAACAATCTGCTGGATGAGCTGGCGCAAACTGTTGATGTTGATATATGTTGATGGCCCCGATATACTCTCACCTCAGGAAGACGTTGTACTGTAGCGGCTGGGGCCAAGCGTTGGGTTTTTAGTTCTTGGAACTGCTGACAGATTTCCACAATCTTGCTAACGGTGGTTGGATTACTCACGAGGATAACTTGGAAAACATCCTCGGCGATTCCCTTTAAAAGATGACGGACCTTTTCGGGTTCCGTCATGTTGATATCAACTCGGCGGCACAGATCCAGCACGTCTTCGATGTAGGACGTGAAGGTTTCCGTTGGCTGCTGGGCCCGCGAGGACAGCTTTCGCTCGGCCACAATCTGTCGCATTGTAGGTCTTCCGAAAACTTCCTTAAGGCGGGTAGCGAATGTCGCCCAGCTGTCAAATTCTTGCTCGTGGTTGAGGTACCACAGTTTTGCAACATCGGATAGGTAGAAAACCGCGGTGGTCAGCTTAGTGACATCGCTCCAGTGATTGTATCGACTGGCGCGGTCGTAAGCGTCAATCCAGTCGTCCACGTCAGCGTCCCCGATTCCGGAGAATAAAGGGAGGCTCGGGTTGGCGAGCGGTGAGTACCGATGGGGCCGTGGTGTCGGCTTGGGTGGCCGTGGAAGTTGTGGTGGTAATCATTCCGACAGAGGGATGCGGCATTGGTGTTGTCGATGTGAGGGCTCGGCTTCTCAGCTCCACGGCTGACGTCGAGGTAGGTGGGAAAGCCCGCACCTCCACCACTTCTAGCGTACAGGGAAGACCAGGCGGTGGGAGTCAGGACAGGTCCGCTTTTACTACCGTCTGCCCAGCCTCTTAGCCGAGAATCAAAAAAAGGCGCGCGATCGTTGTCTTCTTCACCGGTCCCATCGCACAGCGTCGTCTTCGCTACAATATATATATATATATATATATATATACGGAAAAAAAACGCACCTGAGACGGTTGTTGGAGTTTTTAAAACATATTATTGGTAAAGTTGGTCGACGTTTCGGCCTGAGACAGACCGTCTTGAAAAAGGTCTGTCTCAGGCCGAAACGTCGACCAACTTTACCAATAATATGTTTTAAAAACTCTAACAACCGTCTCAGGTGCGTTTTTTTCCGTATATACTTTTCGTCATCCTGCGCTTCGTTTTTTTTTTCTCTCTCTATATATATATATATGTGGTGTTCCATAGAACGCAGGCCAAATCACTCCTGCGAAAACTACTCATCGCATCGAAAAAAGGCTTGTGGGGTTTCGGTCCTGGACCAGGGGCCCATTTAGGGAAACTGAAACCATGCCCTTAAACACAATAATGAAAAAGTTAATTACGCAAAAAATAATGAACAACTTACATATCCTGGACTTTAATAATTTTCCTAAATGGGCCCCTGGACCAGGACCAAAACGCCACAAGCCTTTTTTCCTTGCGATGAGTAGTTTTCGCAGGAGCGATTTGGCCTGCGTTCTCTGAAACCCCCTGTAGAGGGTGACCACCCGTCCCGCGACCCGCGGGACTGTCCCGCAATGACGGCTCGTGTCCCGCGTCCAGCAAGAAATTCCGAAATTTTCAAAATGTCCCGCATTTCATTCTGTAGTAAAACTCACTCTGGAATTCATGGTGCTGCCGAACAACGGGCACGGGGAAGCGCGGAGGTCGCTGGCAATTGTGTAAATCGCAACGGTACACCATTTTCTATCGAAGCATTGCGGGAAGCGACCGTCGTTTGTAAGGAGAACAGACGCGCATGCTCCGTTGTGCCTCTCCCCTTGGTGGCAAAATATTGTAAGAAAAATTGCTCGCCAAAAGTTTGAATATATGATACTGTAATTATTTTCAGACCGCTGTGTCAATGCGAAAGGGTTGATACGGATTGTTTTTGTTGTTGTTTTAGTGAAACCAGCTAAACAAGGCAAAAAGCCTGCAACAAACAACGATCGAAAAAGGACATAACGTTAATAGCTTGTGTAGGACCATGTTGATAGAAGTAAGCGTTGACAGGAAACAATAACCCGAAAATGATTACCTGTTTCTTATTTCCATTTGATCCATGGAAGTTCTGCTACAGTCGATTTTTATGTTTTCAACTTCGATACAATACTACGTTTGGCATAAAAAAATATATCACTCAGTGGGCGAATTATTTTAGCGTAATTGCTGCTATACAATAAGCAGGTGTATAAGCAGCACGGAATATTAAACGTGTTAAGAGAGCTTATAAGTTCGTGGTGTGCGTGTTAACAAATTTCTTCTCCCCTCCGCCCCCCCCCCCCCCCCCCCCCCGGCCACGCGTGTCCCGCATTTCGCTAGCAGGAAGGTGGTCACCCTAACCCTGTATATACATACTTGCAAATATATTGTCAGGAAGTCCGGCCTTCATCAGGAAGTCCGGACTCCCTGACTCCGGCCGGACTCCGGCCGCCGGACTCCGGCCGAAACGTCGAAGAGTAATCCGTTCGTTGTTGCTGTTGTTTTCTTTTCTTCTCA